TGGCTGTGTAAAGTCTCGTGGGAAGGCGCTCGCCGGCCTTTTCCCCGCGTGGTTTGGGCAGCCGGGCCCTGACCCCAGGAGCTGTCGGCAGCTTGGGGAAGGGCACCGGGCCGCAGGGGCTCGGCCGCGGGGGCTGCCAGTGGCCCAGAGCGATGCCCGGGTGCCTTCGCGCTGGGGCGAGGGGCTGCTTCCCCTGGGTTGGCAGCTGGCACCCGTCAACCCGCCGGGGTGCTGCAGCCCCAGGGCTCTCCCCGGCGCAGCAGGGCGGGGAGGTGGTGTGCCCCGGCTGGTGCAGGGACCCCGGGGAAGGTTTGGTGCCACGGCTTTGCCCTGGCGGGAGGCAGGAACCGGGAGGCGGCTGTGCCTGCTGCTCCCTCGAGCATCCTTGGGCATCCCTGGGCATCCCTGTACTGGCACCAACGCCTTCCTGGCCCCGTATCTTTTCTGGTTTGTGATTTAACCAGCTCCCCTTGCCCTGACCCGAGCCACCGTCCCTCCGTAGCAGCACCGGCACGTCCCTGCCATTGGAAACCTCTTCCCCGTGGCCGACCCGCGCCAGCCTGCCTTGTTCCCCCTCTCCCCAGCTGGACAGGTCTCACAATGCCGAGCGATGGGGACGGTGAAAATAATACCTGCCGTGGCGATGCCGGAGCGGGCAGAGGCCAGGGTGGGTGCCAGGGGTGCCGTTGTCCGGGGGGCCCTGCTTGCCCCCCCCAGCAGGACCGAGCCCAGGAGGCGGGTGGCCAGCAGTGAGCCGGCCGTATTTCTCTTTGCACATAAAGGGCAGTACGGGTGCCAGAGCCGGCTGAATTAAAAAGTGATTGATTAGACAATTTCACCAAAAAGAAATAATATCCCTCAGCGGTTGTTAAGCACTAAACTGCCCAACCCCTGCCTTGGAAAGCCCGGGCCGAGGGTGCTCCCAGGCTGCTGCTTCCCTGCGGATTTGTCCCTGCTGCAGCCCGGGGCGAGGGGATGCTGCAGGAGCAGCTCAGCCCTTCCCTGGGCCGGGGGGTGCCGCAGCTCCCACCCGCCCCGGGCTGCTCCTTCCCCTGTGCCCCGGTCGGCTCCTCTCCCACCAGCCCCCAGGTTAGCACCTGGACCGGGAATGGGAGAAAACACGGGCTCTTCCATCCCAATTAGCATATAAAGATGATATGCAAATGCCATCACCATGGCGGGGACCTGGGTGCTGGGCACCCACATGGGGCACCCAGGACAGCCCTGGCCTTACATGGGGTGCTGACACCCATCCCCGGGGCCACCTCCCCTGGGAGCACCCCCGGCACCCCCGGTTCCCCCATCCCTCAGCCTCCGGCTGCAAAGCCCTTCAATAAAACATGCAGTGAATCCATTTGGCCTCTGCTGAGTCACTGGGGACATCACTAATTAATTTAAATCGTGGATTGGAGATTTCTGATTTTTTTTTTTTCCCCTTTTCTGCTCCCTTTTGTTCTCACAGCCCCAGCCCTGGCTCAGGCTTGGCCCTGACCCCGAAGGTGCAGCTGCGTGCGCTGGCTTCCTTGGGCCAGAAAGCCACAATTTGGGGGAAAGCTCCTCAGGGCACATTGGGTCCTCCTGGGGCCCAGCCTGTCACCCCCGGGGGCGTCGGGGGCACCCGGCTGGTGAGAGCGGTCCCGGACAAATGAGTGCCATTGCCTGGGGCAGCCAGCAAGGATCCCCGAGCCTTCAACCGGGTTTATTTATTTATGGCCTTTATTTATACACCAGCACCTCCCTCCCTCACCAGGAGGCTCTGGAGGGGCTGCCAAAGCAATTAAGAGACAATTGCGATGATAAATAAGTAACGGGAATTAAAGCGCCGGCACTGGAGTGTGATGGCAGCCAGGCTGGGGGATGGGGGTGGGGGGACTGGCTGGATTTAACCCCAGACAGATGGGTGGGTGGATGGATTGACGGACAGATGGACAGACAGACAGGCATTGCCAATGGTCTCAACCCTGGGTCACGCGTGGCTGGGCCCTTCCTGACCTCCCCGGGGCTCTGCAGCCGTCCCTGGGGCAAGGCTGGGTGTCCCAGTGCAGCCATCGTCCCCTCGCTGTTACCGGCCCCGGCTGCTCGGTGGCTGCCCGCAACCCCAATGGCTGCTTTTTACCAGGAAAAAATAAAATAACGGAGCTTTAGAGCAGCTTCTTGGGGACCATTCATGCAGGCAGGTGATGCCAGGACGAGGGGCTGAGGGTTGGCATCTCCCTGGGACGGGCTGCCAGCCCGCCACGGGCAGCTTTGCGTAGCCCCGGCGCTGCCCCGGTATGGGGCTGGTACCACCCGGCAAAGCCGTGGCCGCTGCCCCGGGCCCTGGCAGCCTTAGCTCCCGCTGCCCAAAAACCCTCTCCCCTGCCTGCTGCTGCCTGTGAACCACGGCCGCCCCTGCCCGCGCCCCCGCCAGCCCGGCAGGGAGAGGGCTGCCTTAGGCACGTACATCAAGAGCAGAGTTAAGCCCAGCTCATCTATCGCACCTGATTTATGGCTCCCTCAGCCCAGGGAAGGCGGGAGGATTATTTTTCCCTTTCTCATCCCCCCCCCC